CCCCACGTGTTCACCGTCTGATAAGGAGTCAAATACAACACGCGTGCCATCTGTGCCCAAACAGCCAACGTTTGCTTAGCGAATGAGATACGACATTGTCAGAAACTATTTGCAGATTTGATCCAAGGGCACAGCGGTTCTGTTTCTGCCTGCAAACAGAAATCTTCCCTTTACAATCAAGTGGTATTTCTCAGTTTGGGAAATTAGTGAGTTACCTGGCCCTCAAGCACAGCCTACAGTAAAAACGTGCCTGGTGCCAAGGGGCACCTGCAAGCGATCGGCTTTTCTGGAAGGATGGTGGTGTTGTGGAGAGCAAACGCTTCTCTACAGCTGTGTCTGCAGAAGCGCTGGTCAACCCGGCGCTGCGCGGGGCGATGGAGAATGGGGCGATGGAGAATGACAGGGTGCCAGCCCTTCAGGAGGCCTGGGCAGCGCCTGCAGGTGCTGGAGAAGGGCAGGAACAGGGAATGGGCCTCACAAGAGGATGTTCTGAATTTCGTGTGATGGCAGCTCCCGTGCCGACAGAAGCCGTCCCGGAGTTGTGGGAACGGCACCGGTGCCCAGCGCGGGTGCAAAGCGCTGTAATCAGCGTCTGATTACTTGGACCCTGCATCTACCTGATGCAGTGCGCAGTGATTGCCAAGTAATGTATTCAGTCTTGACTCCCCATCAGTACTTAATCAACACTGCGAGCCTGTCTCCACGACACCCCGGGCTGTGGTGGTGGCTTTCACAACTGTGCCGCTTCCGAGCACAGGACCGGTCCTCAGGCTCAGCGCACGCAAACTGCGATGCTTCGCTGCGGTTAACACAAGTGAATCACCACAGGTCTGCGGCTCTGTGAATAAACACTGTTCTGGATTAAGCTTCAAAGCGTGCGCTGACAGCTCGGTGTCCCTTCTGCAAGCTGTAGCTCGGGGAGAGGTGATGTTGGTGGACTATTTACATGAGAATTTGTTCGACGAAGCCTCAACGGGTATTTTAAGGGCTGTAAGGAAAGCAATCGTTCTCCAGTAACAACAGAGGTGATGTCATGATTCAATCACTGATTGTTTTTTATTAGATAGTATCCTAATTAAGAATTGTGAATAGATTAAAAAGACTCTTACCTGGTTCTCCTCTGATTACTCTGCTAAATTCCTTTCTTTTCCAACTTCCTATACTAATTCTCCTATCTGCAGTTAAAATTTTTCTGTCTGCTAAAAATAATGAGATGAGGGGCTAATCTCAGAAGGAAATTTTTCTCCCAAGTGAAAACAAGGGGTTTGGTTTAAAAATGGGCACGTTCATTTTGCAGCAAACTCGGAAGTCATTCCTCAAGTTTTCCTTGAACTGGGTATGCTAAGAGCCAGGAGTAAATACCATAAAGCCACTGACACCCTTGGGTGGAAGCTGTGGTGTTTTACGCTGTGATCTGTGGGGCCAGGGGCCAACTCCTCAGTGCACCTGAACACCCAACCTGACCCCAATTTGAAACGCTCCTCTCACTGCCGCAGTGAAGCCAGAAAGGCTGTGGTTATCTGCACCAGTGGAGGTTCTGGCCCACTTATCTTTGTTTCATTGTGTTTAAAAAAATATCTAAATGAAGCTATGGAAACACTCGGTGCAAATTCTACAGTGGGATCTGGATCAAAATCTCAGGCGTCGTTTGTTTTTGGGTAAACAATGGCGTGTAGCTGCACCTGGAATCCAAAATAGCAGCTCTGTTTTTGAAAGCAGACAACTGCTTTATTCTGTACATTGCCGTATAAAGAAAAAGCACATTGGAGTTGGAAATGTTCGGCTGTGCAAATCTGCACTGAGATACTGGGGTTCTCTCCTCAAGACTCGGTGTTTTTCCTGATTTCATTTATATTACCGTATGTAACTGCATACAGCAGCTGAGTGATAAAAAGACTGTTTATTTAAAAATATGAATTCAAGTGGAGATGGCTCATTTAGTATGCAGGTTGGCTTATTAAAGAGCATATATGAAAATTAGGGCTTCTGGCCACGGGGCCTAGCACAGAAACACATTCGTGGATCTGTGTTATGGGGTGATAATGGGTGGCTATTAAGCCATGTCATCACTGTTAATTAAGAAAGAAATAGATAATAAAGGGTCTGTAGCAGGCTTCATCTGAATTGTTACCTCAAATTTGTATCCCAAAATGTTTTCAAGGGCTGGAGCTACCCTTTCAGCTGCACAAAGCAATCTGCAAGGCTAACAAGTAAATACGGTATGCCTCAATGTGCTTTTTGTCAAGTCCCAAAGAGTAAAAGACTTATTCATGCGCTTAAGCATCCAACAAGTTCCTTTTTAAAGCCTGCTAGATTTTCAGGATGCACCGGAATCGGTGGTGTAAATCCTTTAGGATTAGGGCTGGACTAAGATGTCAGAGCCTTCCTGAGGTCAGGAGAGCCGAGTGTGGCTGTCGGCTGGGAAGTTGTCCATCTTTTTCTGAAGGGAGAGGACCTGAAGGTGGGACAAGCGTGCAGTGCGTAACGGGGCTGGGTTTGGTGTCTGGAGCTAAAGCTCTCATCGGTGTGAACTGCTGCACCTCTTGCTGTGCAGCTGGTGCTGACGGGCAGGACCTCACAGGCTTTATGGGCCAATGCGCCCCAAAGGGCAGAGCCTGGCAGGGATAAGGGAGGGGAAGGATGAGCAGGATGCGACCTACACCATGTTTGGGAAGGAAGAAATGAGAGGTACCAAATCTTTTCTTCAGTACCTTTTCTGCAGCCCTCCCCACGCCCTCTGTGCAGGTGAAGTCGGTTCAGATAATCCTGTAATCAGATAAACCTGGTTTGCTGATGGTTTTCTCACAAGCTTCATCAAGCACAGACGCCTGGACTGCGGCTCTGGACAGGCTCTGGTGCTCAGCAGAGGTGGACAGTGCCTTCCATCCTGCCGCTCGCTGTCCGAGTCCTGTTCAAATGTCTTGCTGATCTGGTACCTCTCACTTGGGGTCTTTCTCCTGTCCTTGGTCCCTGGTTACAGCTCCTGGCCCACGTGTGGGGGCTGTGTGGGGACCTGCTCCCCCGAGGGCCCCACGGCCGCGTTTCGGGTGCTGCCAGCCCACATCCACCCTCTGGCTGCGCAATTCCCCACGAGCCACGGCCACCGAGACCTCACCCGAGGTCAGCTCTGGCTTGAATGTGACACAGAAATGGTATCGATTTCTCGTGGTCGATACTCGTCCCCTAGAGTGGCTTTTCTGTGCGCCGCATTCAGTGGCAGCGCTCGGGTGGCTTTCCCTCCCGCCTTCCCCGCTCCACAACGCTTGGACCAGATGCATCACTGGGTATTTACTCTGATGAGTTTTGCCCTTTAGAAACTCATTTACAAATTCAAAGCTCTAAGGCACTAATCTCTGCCATTCCCTTAGTAGATTAAAATTTAAAATAACAAAAAAAGAAGAAAGGATGCGAAATGAGAACTGTTCTTACTTTCTTGGAGCAAAATTCAGAGCACATCTCCACCGTCAAATTGGGCTGTATCAAAGAGGCTGGAAAGGTGTCTGTTAAATTTTCTGGAGCTCTAAAACATCCTCGATAGATAACACTCCTCCCTGCAGGGATATGAAATAGGTTTCTCTTGAGAAAACAATGTCCGTAGTATCCTGCCTCTTTCACAAAGAACAACATTAGGTTCAGAAGCTAAAAATAATGAAATAAATTTTATATTCTGAATGCTGTAGAAATAAGAGAAACCATGATATACACTAGAAAAACGTGTTGCAAATCCTGTGGTATTGAGAGCACGCACCTTTGGCTTTGTACTAACCACGGAAAGTAGGGCTGCAGCAAAGACTTTAAATTAAATTCCACCAGTGGAGGGCATTGCTATTGTTTGCAAGCCCCAGTTTTCTTTTGAAGACTCTGCTTTTCCCCGGAAGACCTAAAAGCCCTGATAAAAATCTACAAAGCTTCCCATGATCTGCAGCAGCAAAGGAGAGGAATTTGACTGAGTCCTGGAAGCCCCCCTGGAGACCCCCAGTCCTGCACATCCGCTCGGCTGCTGAGCGCTGCTCTCCTCTTCCGCTCCTTTTCGGGGCGAGGGGTTTGCTGCAGCCCGGGGCTGTGGTAAGCTGTGAGGAGAAGAGCCCTGCTCAGGGCCTTCCCCTCAGCCTCTGATCGCGCCTGCTCCTCTGTGAATGCCACAGAGCTCGGCAGCACTGCTCCATTCTTGCATCGCTGGCACTGAGGTCAGGATTTGGCCCACTACTTGTTGCAGGCAGCAATACCGTTCTCCCTCCTGCTCAAGTCAGAAATGTCCCGACAGAACCAAAGGAAAACCCAAAGCTGTCACAGAAACTCGCTGCGCGAGGCGAGGCGTTTGCACTGGTGAACCAATGGTCGTGGAGAAAACAACAGTGTGGGGCTGGTTAGGAAAAGAGACAACTCTGCATGTTGTATGATTCTGCTACTCTTGGGATTTTGTGGGCTTTATAAAGGTGGTAAATTCCTTTACTTCATTACCAGCTCCGTTGACAGAATTTGCCTAGCACGACTCAACAGGGAGGAGAGTGGATTTGGGAATGGATTTAGGTCTTCTGACTCCTGGTCCGCACCCGCTGGCTACCTGAAACGGGACCGGCCAGCACTGGTGTGGGAGATGTGCGGGCTGACGGGAGAGGTGCAGTGCAGCGTAAGAGGAGAAATTTGGTTCTGCATGAATTTCCTGGCAGAGGGGCCCAGATTCTCCAGCATGAGCCAGCAGCAATCCAGGGACAAGCTGCTTGAATATGGTTCTAATAACTGTTCAACCCAGTCACTAGAAGCAAAGCTAGACCTCTGGGATCAGGCGGGAGATGTGAAAATAAAATAACTCGATGAAGCTGGGGGGAAGCAGGAGTTTCCCTCGGACAAGATCTCTGCAGGCACAGCCCCAAAAGATAAAGGAACGGAAGCTTTTTGGCCTCTCAGGATGCTCTTGAAAGACTTCCTACTGAATCTCACATTAATATTTAACTCCTGAAGCAAAACGTTGATGAACATGTTTGGAGTTGTCTCAGCGGGTCGGGACGAAGGCTCGAACTGCCCCTGCCGGCACTGGGAGACCCCAGTGTGGGGCTCGCTCTGCTGTGCGTAAGGAGAAGCCTCAAGCCAGGTCTGCTCTGTGGCGTGGTGTAAATCACCGACGCCGCTCCCGTTTCAGAGTTACTTTCCAATGCACTCGTTCATCATGATTAATACTTCTGTTCGCCCCTCAGCAGCTTGTGTCAGTGGGATTCTTCAAACAGTCAAATATCAGGTGTTACTAAGGGCAAACAAAACACAAATCTAGCTCCAGGCTAGACTAATTTGATGAATAATTCGTTAATACTTAAGAAAAAAATAAATGCCGCCTTTTCCTGTGAAATATGTATATATATTTTATGCTGAAGATTAAACAGTGATGCATGTCCCGGGAAACCTGCCAATGTGCCTGTCAGCCTGACACCAGCAATTTAAGTCTGTGTACCGTTGATATATAATTTATATGTAGCTGGGTAGATTATTGTACAAACCTTGACTTGTCTTTAAGAAGAAATGAAGTGCCATCAATACTGGCACAACCTAAGGTCTTGGTGCTTCTTCTCAGCAAATAACAGCCGTTAAGGTCTTGTGAGCTTGCCAAAAGTAAAGACTGCTCAGCTGTTTCGATATTTTATGTGCTTTGCATTGGCCCAAAGCTTTATCCGCTGTATCTCCTGTGGTGGCTAATTGAATGACAAGTAGAGTAAGTGTGGCCATCTAAAGATGAAGCCATGATCCCAACCACTGCTGGAACAGGAGTCCTTGGAAGAGCAAAACTGCTCATCCCTCAGGAGGGAGGTGGGAATTGGGCTGCCCTTGTGCTGGCCTCTACTCATTCTCTGTCTGTGCTCACACAGCCCTTGTTTGGCTCGGGATTATTTGAGCGTGGGGTGGCACTGATATGGGTGCTTTTCTGCCCTTCTGCTTCCAGGGTTGTTGCTTAAACACATGGGGGTTTGTCCCTCCACGATGCATGTGAAAAGGAGCGGGTTTTCCTCCACTGAAATTCAGCTGCTGTTGCAGTCGCTCTGCACTGCGTTTTGTCCCTTCCCTGGTGACACTAACGCTCTGTGTGGCAGCCCAAGGCAGCCGTGGCAGCCACGTCTCGCTGCTCCGAGGCAGTGAGCAGCTCTGCCATTTCAGGGAGGGAGCCGGAGACCGGACCAGCAGCAAATGGACACCGTGCCCTGCGGGCACCTTCATCCTTTGCTGCTTCAAACTCTGGTGACAAATGGAGAGAGACGAGCGGTGGGGACAGACCATGCACTCTGCTTGCCCCTGGCATCTCCCCCTTCACTTACGCTGTCTGGCTGCGGCCCGCAGCTCCTCCACGCTGTAGACCGAGAGCCGGCCGACGCCGCCGCACACCGAGCCCTTCTCGCCCTTGCACTCGCTGTTGCACTCCTCGGGCCTCACGGCGGTCGCAGGGAGCGTGTTCCCGCAGTAGCACTCTGCGCCGTACGCCAGGCCTGCGTAGGTGTAAGCCCTGTGGGAGCAAGACCAGGCCCTGTCGGTACTGACACCCCGCCTGTTCCCCACTTTATACACCTAACGAAGGAGGAGCCCATCCCCGTGTGCAGCGGACGCTTCTGCCGCCCTGCCCAGAGACACAGCCAGCCCGGGTCTACACCCTGCTGTGGTGGTGACTGGAGCCGCTCCTGATGACCAGCAGCTCCCAGGCTGCGCTGGGCACGGCCCCGCTCCCTGCAGCAGGGGCACTGGTTGGTTCATAGGTTTTTTAGAACATTGTAGATCAAAGATTCGGGCTAGAGGACAACATCTAACAAAGATTATCTAACAAAACAGTAATTTTTGACCAGGAGAATAGAAAATATATTGTAAGTGGCCATGCTATAATAAAGAGGATAGGCAGCAGTGAAATAGGCTACTTAAAGTGAGGTAGCAGAGCAGAGCTACGCCAGCATACGCTGTATGTTTGACACATGTATGCTTTTCCCATTTCAAATCCAGTTCCGCTTATTGTCAGAAAGAACTTGCAGTGAAAAAGCAGCACTCACCTCTCGGCGCATGCTTCCTGACAGTGCGACACCGTCATTTTCCTTAGGTCATAAAACACAGCTCCCTTCAGCGTCCTCTCCCTGGAGTCATCGCTGAAGCATCCCACGTAGGTGCCTGTGTGCACACAAGACCAGGGTCAGGCAGGAGGAAAAGTGCCCGGCATTGCCCCGGCGCCAGGAGCTGCCAGCAGGGCTGTGTGTGCCCGAGTCACAGCCTGTGGGGTCCTGCCCGCCCCAGGGACCGGCCCACTGCCCCCAGCCCTGTTGGGCTGCTGAGGGGTAACGCAGGTGTCTGGTGGAAATGAAGGGAAACTGGGCTTCCTCTGCCCGGGCTGCTGCCGTCAGCGCCGGCCTTTGCCGACCCAGAGCCTGCGGCCGCCTGCTCAGCTCCCTCCCTTCAGTAGCAACACGGGGTGAATTTCTGAAGTAAAGGAGAAGGTAGGCTTAAAAATGGTACAAACCTGGAGAAATCTTGCTGGATTTCTCCCAAGTTTTCTTGAAAATCTCTAGCTGATAATGAGATGGTGCAAGAGAAATATTAAGAAAATCAATTTTCTTTGGGTATGTAGAGTTATATTAAAGCTATAATGGAAAGATAACTTTGGTCTTAACTAGGCAGCACTGTCTTGCTATCGCACTCAACTATCTCGTTCTCCCTGGTGCAAATGAATCTTCTAAAATACGTCTTGCTTTACTTAGCATATGAAAGATAAATATTTCTTTTAGACTGCATCCTACGTTAAGCCTTTTGTTGTCGTGAGCAAAATACTGTAAAAATCCAGCCCATTTTTTAATATATGATGGGAAGGGTGATGTGGAGTCCCACTGTTGTACAGCAATTGTGTGTACATAACTACATTTTGTCATTAAAATAGGAAGGAAAAAAGGAAATTTGATTTTAGAAGTAGCAGTATTGAGTTGATAATACAAAGAAATTAAATCATGTGAGCTGTGGACAGGAAGAGAATTTCTGATGAAAAATGAAACTAAAAAGTATTATATTAACAATAAAATAACCACAAGAAAGTTTAGGCTACTCTAACAGAGATTTTGGAGCTAGGAATAATAAATCAAACATTTAAATACTACAAACGCAACAGTAGGTTCAAAGACCTGCGCAGTGGTAATCTGCAGACATGCAATCAGAAGATTCTCAAGCTGTGACCACGCACCCCCCGTGCGCTTTTGCTGAGGTGGGAGTTGCACCCTGCATGGAGCACCCTGAGCCCCTCCTGCCCAAATCCCAGCCTCTGCTGAGCATCTGCAGCTTGCAAAGGAGTGAAAAAAGTAATACTTGTGAATATAAAATACTGGTTTATGATGTATGGGTACAAAGGTGGTGGCCTGGAGAATTTCTGTGATTCTCTTCTGCAACTGTCCATGAAGAGCTTATTAAAGGGTTTATTAAAGCCAGTGTCAGCAGAAGAGCTGTTTGCTGGAGGTGAAGATGCGTTCTCCCACAGAGATCCGGGATGGGAACAGGGATGGGGCCAGGGCCCCTCCCCAAAGCCCTGCGCCAGGCCTGGTCACTGGGCACGGGGTGGAGGAGCTGGAGCCTCGCGTTTCGTGATGGCCATGGGGCTGTTGGTGGGTGCTGAGCACTCGGCTGGGCGCTGGGGCAAGGCAGCAAATGCAGGGGTTCTCTGGGAGACGCCTGTGCTTTGCAGCCGCTTTTCTCTACCCCAAAACCTCTGGTGAGGGCTGCTGGGAGGCGCCTGTGGAGCACCCTGGAAGCTCAGCGGTGCTGGAGGTGACTCCAGCGGCTGTGGTTTGCCTGACTCACGCTGTGACTCATCTCCCGCACTCCATCACTATCATCCCCTTGTTCCCATTTCTGACAATTCACTCAGTAGGAGTCACGAGGTGGCACCCATTTTGTGGGATTTTTGCAGAAGGTGCCCCTTTGTTTGGGTAAATGTATTCAACAAACTAAAGAGCAGTTTAGTAATGTGGTGTCTAGTCATCCAGATCCTGTTCCCTTTGCATTATCAGTGAAACGTCTTCAAGAACAGCTCGTTCTTCTAAAAGGCAATGGATCAAAGATCGCACAGTCCTGAGATGATGCTGCAGCAGGGGAGCACAGTCAGACACCAGCCCAAATCCTGGTGCTCTCTGTGTCGGGCTCCTGAAGGGAGCTTCTCTGCTCCCTGGGCCTCCAGAGGTGTCTGCAGAGCTGGGGCTGCATGGCGCAGCTCAGCCGAGGAAGGGCCCTGGGCTGGGGACACCCAGCTCCGTGCACCCCCTGGAGCACGCGAGGGCCTGGCGAGGAGGGGGCTCCTGGCTGACCTTCCCTTTGCACTGAAAACCTGCAGTTCTGTACCCTGCGCTCTGGCCGCTGATGGACTGCACCCACGCAGCGTGCGATTCCCCTGGCGTTCCCCTTGGCCTGCTGGAAATCCCCAGCAAACTCGCCAAACATCAGGAGTTTGTCCCCGACCCAGCAGTTCTCGTTTCACCGTGGTGCTGGTTTGGCGCTGGTAAGGGATGATGGGCTGCGTGGCCCACACCGCGTCCCCCTGAGCACAGCGCGTTGGCAGAAACAGACACAGAGGGCAGGTCAGGACAGCAAATGTGATGGCAACAGCAGAATTCAATATATGCTAGAAAGCTTCGGCAGCAAGGAGGCACTTCTAGATTTAAGATATTGTGTGGTTTTGGATAGTTAATTTAATAAAACCCACTTTTAAATTGTTCCCTGTTCTGAGAAAGAAAATCAATTAAACAGTGTTCATCTCTGCCTGCTTGAAGAGAAAATAATTTAAATTAGGGAAGCATATTTCACTGTCTGGGCTTCCATTCAATCAATTTTTGGAGTAAGTTACAGCTCAGCAGACCAGGGATATCTGGATCGTATTTTGGCGCCTGTACACACTTAAAAGCCGGGAGGAAGGCGTTTCTGCAGGCAGGCTGTGGTGCTCGCCCGCCTCTGCCTGGGGCAGTTTATGTGGTGAGGGGGTCCTCGCCCGCCTCTGCCTGGGGCAGTTTATGTGCATGCCAGAAATCAGGGCAGGGGATGTCCCTTACCTTTGTGCTCGGTGGTGAGCTTCATCGCCTTGAGCCCCGCTGTCTGCATGGGCTCCTGGTCACTGATGAACCTGTGAAACCACCTCCTCCTCAGCTGCCGGAGCTCCGCGTTGCGGGACACGAGCCACCGCGGGCTGTGCGGCTGCTCCGGGGCCAGCTCCTGCAGCGCGTCCGTGCCCACCAGCGGCCGGGGCCCGGGCCGGGGGCTTTGCTATCCCGACCCCGGCCATCGCGTCTGGCACCAGCAGGGCCTGGTTGGTGGAGGTCCCTCGCGAGCCTTGCTGGATCACCAAGCGGGTGCGCTGCAGCAGCAGGAGGCTGCCAGCCATCAGGTACGCTGCTGTGAGGAAGAAGAGCAGGAACTGGGTCCGACGCAGAAACTTCTGTAGCCTGAAGAAAGCTCTGGCCATGCCCTTACTGGAACCGGACCCCTCACGCCTCCCGACGGGCCCCTCGATCTCCACCAGGCCAGGCGCTGGTTCCCCCCATCAGTTCAGCCCATCACTTCGGCGCCTCCTCCTGATGAAAAGCCTTCTCCTGGGTCAGGGGCAGCCGCCAGCCTCAGGCACCCGCCCGGCCCCAGGGCTCCACGCACGCCCGGGGCGATGCCATCGTCCTGCTCTGCCGAGCCGCTGGCAAAACCTGCAACACCAAGGGGAAGGCTGGTTCACATCCAAACAGAAGACACCCGTCACCAGAGTGACTTTCCCCCGCCCACCACCGAGCGCTTCTCCATCTGTTGTTTATGATTATGCACTTCACAAACTATAACCCAATCAGAGTGATTGATTAAGCAGAAGCTAGTTTCAGATCTCACTTTTTTCTCTTTTAACTTGCAATGCGTAAGAAATGCCTTTGTGATGAGGTTATTTCTCTTGGGATGTTTGGGAAAGAAGTTCTTTATTTTCTTTTGTCAATAGCCGACACCTCCATTCTTGTCACTGGCTGAACAGGCAGCCACAGCGCAGGCATCTTTTTAGGAAGGTATTATCAAATTCCTTCCTTTCAGCTCAACAGTAGCTAAGCTACAAATGCAGATCAGAAGGAAACAGCACTGTGGGTGTGTGGGGAAAAAGAAGTAATTACATCAACTCACAACAGATAAGATAATAATTATTAATCTCTTTGCAGCACAATAAAGTCAGGCTTTATGTTGGGGGGTATCTGAGGGTTCTGCTGTGCGTGTTGCTTTAAAAGAAACAAGAGATCCTGCTATTTTTTGAGTAGATTTCTATTGCCAAATGCTGATGTGGGGATGGGCATGGATAAAAACCAGTGAATGTCTGAAAAAGCAGCATTTTGAGTGTCCCCAGATATCTGTTGACTGCTGCTGAGTTCTGCAGGCTTTGGTTGTGCTGATGTGTGCCCTGACGGGATTGTCTGGGCAAGAAAAGCGCCTCTGTGCTCCAGGGAACCCTTAACCTCTTGCAGCAAATAAAAGCTGGCATCGCCCCATAAGCTCCTGTTTTCCCAATCACTTCTCTGTGGAGCCAGGCAAGCGCTGAGAAAAGATGCAGTGTTTTCCAGAAAAGAAAATATTATGGCTTTTGCTTAACTTGCAGTTGGGGCACGCTCTTGAAATCCACAGTCCTGCCAAAGAAAGATCCCTTCACTGCATTCCTTGTTTCGCATCTGATCGAAAGTTTCGGGGACACTCACGTATGCCTGTGTCCTAAATCGGCGCCACCAGTTCAGTCTCCACCCATTCCCTTTTTCATTTACTTGTGCAACTTCTTCCTATCTTAAGCAGCAACCAAAAACAAAGCCCCCAAACCTTCTAGGCCGGAAATACGTTAAAGCTCAGCTGCATCTTTTGTCCATTGACCCGAATTCCTTTTGTGTGGCCTTTCTGCCTTGATGGCTGAACAGGGCCGGCACAAGCAGGAGTCCTTTTCTGATCTTACAAGTGGGGTGGTCTTGAGGACCTGATTTAGGTGCTTTTATTTGTATTTTTTTGGTTTTGTTCATGTATGCTGGTCTCAATTGTCCAGGGGTGAGGAATACCCAATGATTTCCCGTGTGTTTAGGGAACAGAGATGGGTCTGACCAGGACCCTTTCCACCAGCACCTGTGGCTCTGTCAGCAAACTCGAGCGGGCGCAAGGGGCTGCGAGGCCATAGGATGCTGTAGTGAATTAAGACCACTTTCTCCACTGTAAAAGTCACCAAAACTCGCTCTGATCAGCTGCAAAGCCAAAGAAAATGCATTGATTTACACCAGCTGAAGAGCTGACCCTTAAATTACTGAAAATCTCTGATGAACGTTGCGAGTGCTCAAGAATTACAGTCCAGAGGTCAGAAGCACCTGGGCAGATGAACGGGAAATCAGCCATAATGAGATACTGCAGATTGTTACTGCGCTAATTTATCTGAAGAAATCTTGTCTGTCAGCACAGGTGTGACTTGATTCACTCCCTGTTCCTAACATGCGGCTTCAGGAAACTCGAGCTGTTCCCAAAAGAGGCCGTCTAATAGAAAAGAAAGATGTGTGCGCGTGTGGGCCATCTGGGATTGACTGGGAAATTGCCGTGCTCCTTGCAGCTCCTCCAGCGGCGGAGCCTGCCCTGTAATGCAAAGGGATGGCCCTGCTCAGTGAGACGCTGCTGCAGAGCCTTGTTGGTGACACGGTAATGGCTGCAATCATGCAGGTATTCAAAAGGTTTAAGATTTCTCTTCCCCCCTAGCAGCAAGATGAGGGTAGATGAATGTGCCAGACTTGCCCAGCCGTAATTGAGGGTTTCACAGCTCTCTTGGTTTACTCACAAAGCGATGAAGTTACAATATCACAGTGCGCTTCCAGCCGGAGTTCTGCAGAGGTCCAGGTCGCTTGCGTTGGCGGGGCCATGCAGGCGATGCTCGCCAGCGCTGCCTCGGGGGCTGAAGGACCATCGAGGCCGTGCAGCAGAGGCCGGGCGCGTTGTGCTTGAAACTGCATCTCTGTCCCAGTTTGTCCCTTTCAGGGCTGCTGTGCTTGGTCTTTCGGCGGCTTTCAGTCGGGTTCCTCCACGTCTGCAGCGATGTCGAGGGGAGCGGCTGGAGGCCGCATGACCCAGGCCAGGGGGATCTGCTGCTCGTCTGGGCAGCACAGGGCGATGGGGGAGCGGGGTCTGGCCACTGCTGCCCAAACGATGCCTGCGTGGGGCACAACCGCCACCTCCCACCGTGGCGGGCTGAAACGCCGGGTGTGCACCCGCGGGAATGGGGTACCTGCCCCGGACACCGACCCAACACAGCAACCGCTGTATCCTGCACCAGCGCAGCGCCTGTCCATCTGCCCGCTGCATTCATCTGCTAAGGGAAGCTGTTCTGGGTCTGGGAAGGGTAACGCTGCCCTTGCCCACTGGTTGGAAAAGTTTACGTGGCAGAAGCCAATCTGGCTGCAGTCAATATGACATATATAAATTACCTCCAGATGCATTCGCCCTCGGTACAGTTGCCATGACAGTACATTGTAGTAAAAACCAACCAAATAAATAAGCAGACTCTCCACCCACAGCGACTGCTGCAAATGTGCAACTCAAAAATTAAATGTTGCTTTTTAGTGGGGAAATAGCAGAGTGCTGCTGACATAAAAAAATATCATTTGATTTTTCCATAAACTGCATATTGCAGTATCATCAAAGTATGCCTAAAAGAATTGAAGTGCATCACTCTTGATGATGGTATTAAAAAAGCAATAGAAAATGCATAGTTTGTCTGCTTCATACATGTTCCACTTAAAATGAATGAAGTGAAACGGAAGAAAAGTAGAGTCCTCTGTTCCTGTTTATCAGTTCTCACAGCCAGAGGGGGTTTAGGACAATATTAACTGAGGGTTGAGTTGGTCAGTAAAAACATAAAATGATAATTGAAAAGACGTGGAGACAGGCAACGAGAGCTGCTAAAGAGCAGAGAATACCTCGAGGTGAGAGAACATTGGAAGGGTTAATGCTGCACCATTAAAAATGGAAATAATCGCCGCTGACAAGGGTCAGTGGCTTTGGAGATAGCGAGCGGCGGTACAGCAGAGCTGGGTGCTGTGCCTTCAGCAAGGGAAGGGTCCCTTGCACCCCTATGAAGGTGGTGCATCTGGTGGCTGTGTTTTATACAACAGGTAACTACCTGGTTATGGAGAAAAACGCCAGAGCACAGGTTGTGAACTCAGCACGTTGCGTCTCGGAGAGCACTGATGGGACTAAGCACCAGACCCGAGGCACTGCCACTGTAAAGTGCTGGATTTCTTTTAATCCTTATTTTTCTTTCATTACATCTGTAATACCAGATTTATAACTGCCCTTAAAAAGTTGCTGTAAGGAAAAGCAGGTCAGTACCTTGCTGCCAAAATGATCTCACAGAGTGTGACAGAAGATGTCACGCTAGACAGCAGCATTAATATATTTGTAAAGAGAAGGAGAAGAAGAGAAACTGTGAAGTTCTCGGCAATTCTCTCAGGAGCAGTTACAGAACATTAAGGGAGGACCAAGTACGTTCAGCGGTGCTGGGAAAGGCGAAGGCTGGGCCCCACAGAACAGCCCCTGAGGTGCGGGTGAGGAGTTGCTGGGTTGAGGCTGCCCCCAAAGAGGTCGCTCAGGGCAGAAACGCGGTCGATGCTGCATTGACGGCCGTGGCTTGTCGATGGCTGATCTGTCTGAAGACCAGCAGGATTTTGCAAATTCAGAGTTCTTGGCACAGAAGCAGGACTATGTTTTGTATCGTAAACTGAAGGGAATTGGACTCACGAACACTATTTTTAGAAAAATCCATCCCTCTTCCCCACTTCTTCTCTCTTTTGTCAGCTTGCTCTGAGGACAAACGCCGTCAGTCAGGACCAGCTGAAGGGCTCTGGCTCGCAGCCCTTCGTTTGGGTACGTGCTGCCATTTTCCTGAGGCTGTCTGGAAAGTCAAGGCCAACTCCACGCTGCGTGAATGCACGCGGGAAGAAAAACTCTTGAGAAGCCGCAAATTTAATGTTGGGATCTTGTCAAATATTGGCAGTTCCCTTTATTCCGATAGCTGAGAGCACCCTGAGCATCTGCCGTGTTGGGCCCAGACGGCCGACAGCAAGGGCTCCTCGCAGCCGTGCTTCATACACGGCTCTCGGGTTTTGAGAACGGGGTTAGGAAGATGACTGAGGTGAGCTGTTGAGCTCTCCCTCGCATTATCCCAGCTTCCAAATCATGGGATAAGAGGGAAAAATGAAACGGTGGATCACATTTGCGTGGAAAGAAGCACATGCTAGAAGTAAAGCTTAGAAGAAACATCCTGGCGCTCCACTGTCTGGAGCCAAATATACACTCGGATCAAGACATAGGTTGATGCTGATGGGTTTTGGCTCGGGTCCGTTGTTACTTTTCCCAGCTCCCTAAGGAAGTGTCATGTGGAATTGTCTCACTAACTTAACAATGAAATGTAGGGATTTATGCAAAGGAAAG